TTAGGCATATACTGCTTTAAAGATGTTGGAGCAGTTTTTCCTTTATATCCTACCATTTGTTCGTCGATAGCTATATATTCTTCTTGATGAACTAATGCTTTAGAACGTTCATTAAATATATCAAGTAATGGTTGAATTTTATCACATTTTTCAGCATTCAAAATGTTGTTGTTGAAATGTAATGTTCGCAATAATTCATCAATACGATTACGTGAAATATTATCTACAATAATATTCTGTTTAGACAGCTGGCACCAATAATCACCTTTGCTTGAAAGTTTGATAAGCGAAGCATAAAAAAGAAATCCAGGTAATTTATACAATTCTAATTCATCCATAGGTTTTTGCTTTAACTTATGTTGTACTCGATATAAGTTTGATTGCTCGACAATGTATTCAATAATATCTGGTGTTAAAAACAGTGTAAAAATGTCAATGGGTGTTGGTGAAGAAGGTAAATGTACTTTATCCGATAAACCAAATGCACCTTTAAAGTCTGGTACGTGTGCTGTTATATCATCTTTTATCCAGTTATAATTATTAAAGGATTTAGTATCATCATCACCTACATTATCATCCGAATGAATTTTATCATCACCTTCTAGATCATCGTTCAAATCAATATCATCAAAATCAGATAAATCATCACTTGATTCTTCAGAATACTCATGCATTTCATAATCTTCACCACCTTCAATATTGGATCTTTTAAATATTACCTCGTCAATCTCAAGGGGTGGAGGTCTATCTGAGAATAAGTCAGTGAACTCAGCGCAGCAGTGAACTCTGAATATTGCTTATTTCAAGAGGGAGTGGGTGTGGGTGTGTGAATGAAGAGAAGATGCACACCCACACCCTCACCCATACCCCACATCCACACCCACCACACCCACACCTACACCCACACCCACACCCTAGTGGAGATGATTCAAATAATATTATATCAAAAGATTCTTTCGATGACAATATGGTATTGAAGAAAAATATTCGAAGACATAAAATAATTTCCGTAGGAAAACAACAAAATATCCATCGTCAAAAACTAAATATGTCTTGATTTGGATCTATAAGATAGCTACATTATTTTTGTATAGATTTATCCACTAAAGATCAAGATCAAAATCGATTCATTTCCACAAGTCAAATAACTATAAACATGGATGTAAATTTTTATTTAATTATATTTTATGATTATTTTTCCTCCTCTCGAAGTACATTTTTTTTCTTATATTTGTAGCTGTACATTTTGCCGAATCTCATCGTATTCATCAAACACAAATAATTTTCTTATCAAGCAAATTTAACTAACAAAGGTTTTCTCAACAATATATAATCTTTCAAATTATTATCGACAAGGAGCTGCTACTTTTGTGAAACACGATCTGAAAGGAGTGTTGAAGTGTTTAGAGATAGAAATTTGGACCCCCCCCCCCCACAGACCGTGACAGAGAAATTCTATACCCATCACAGACCGCGACAGAGAACCTCTAGACCCATCACAGATCGTGACAGAGAACCTCTAGACCCATCACAGACCGTGACAGAGAACCCCAAAGGCCATCACAGACTGTGACAGAGAACCCCAGAGACCATCACAGACCGTGACAGAGAACCTTCGAACCCATCACAGACCGTGACAGACAAGCTCCAGGGATCATCATAGACTGTGAAAGAAGAGTTCAAGGAAGCATCAGAGATAATGCATAACTAACACATAATTGGAGCATATATGAGGTGTTATCCTGTTTCAGTTCTATAATGTAAAGTAAGCCACGATGAAGAAATGTACACCAATATGCATAAAAAAGAACAATTTTTATAAGATTGGCAACAGCAGGTACATCGTGTTTCACATTTTTAATCCCGCAAGGGATTGCGCTAACAGCTTTCATAATAATAATGATTGTTTCTGCATAATTCGAACATTTTCCAACTGGAATCTCAGAATTATTAATGATCAATTGATCAGAAATATGTTATATGAACATGATCAGGCAAGTTTTAATCAAATTGATCGCATATGTAACACGTTTGAACGCGAATATAATTTCGAACGGACAAAAAAAAACGCGTTTCAAATAATACAGAAAGGAAACCGTTTCGCATATAAAACGGGTGTGAACACAGCTATTAGCTCAAACGCGCAAAAACGCGTTTAAATCAATACAATAACAAACCGCGTTTACATCGAGGATGCGTTTGAACGCATTTATCATGTAGAACTGCATGAAAACGCGTTTGGTTCAACACAGAAATTATACCGCATTCGTATTTAGGACGCGTCTGATCGCATCTATCATTAGAAACGCACAAAAACGCGTTTAAAGATATACAGCAAGCGAACCGCGTTCCGATTCACATTGCGTTTGAACGCGTTATCTAGTTCAAACGCAGAAAAACGCGTCTCGGGAGATACAAAAAGCAAATCACGTTCGTGTTTGAGACGCGTCTGAACGCAATTCTTACTACAAATGCGTTCCAACGCATCTATGTGATGCGTTTGGATGCGGCCCATTACTGATTTTGACGGTAGACGCGTTGAAACGCACCCACTAACGCGTTTAGACGCGTCTAGGCTGCGTTTCAGTTTTACATGGGCACCCACATCCACCCCAAATTATATTATAACGACAAGAGATCATTGGTTCACGGAATTTTCAGCGATTTGGAAAGCTACTTTTCCTTCCAGACGCACGAGCTTTACACATACTGTG